TATTTGGCTCAGAAATCATGCCCTAAGTGAGCTTGTTGGTGTCTGTCGAGCAGGTAGCAGCATCTGGAAGTGCTCGAAGAAGTGTATGTGCCTCTTTCTATCTCGGGCTTAATTCTTGTCCTGAACATGCAGTTACTTGTATAGGGAAAAGGTCTGGGGAACCACAAATACGGATTCTCTTCCTACTAATGCTAGCTCTATGATGCTGATAGGACTAAAAGAGGAAACCTATACTGCTCCTCTTACGGCTGGGAAATTGTTTTGGCTTTACAGAGTTCAGCCATCTGGGGAAACTGGTCAGCTCTGCTCTCATTGCCAAAGCTGCAGGAGAAACTATGCGTATGTCTGAAATTTGTCGGGATTTTGCTCGAAGCACAGTGTCAAGGGGATGGTGAAAGTGATACTGTTGGTGAGCCAGCAGAACCTTTTTTGTCCGTACCCCACCACCGCTTGCTTGAGTAGCAGATGGCAACAGCCATCTAATATCCGAGCAGAATGTCTGAAATGAATTGGTGGTGGTGTTGCAGCTCAAGGGACACATTAGCTTCCTGTGACTTGGAGCATTAAATCTGCGTTCATGTCAGGGCGAGGACTGTGGTCTGTCACACCCAGCTGCTAGAGCGGGAATGTGGTTTGGACATTTTCAACACAAGCTCAGATTGAGAACCACAGAAGCTGGCCGTTTGGGCAAAAAGGGCTGGGGATCTGGTTGATAGTCATTATCAGACAGCCAAGGTAAGGACATGACTGGAGAGAACCTATACTGCAAGCCCCTGAATCAGTCCTAAAAAACTGCTGCCTGGAACAAGGGGTATGTAGAGATGGGGCACGCTGGAGCAGGCTTGTCAGGAGGGGAAGGTGAGCTGAGGAAGGAGAAGGCAGCACGAGCAGAGCCTGAGGGAGCGGGAATCAACGCTTGCCTTCCCTGCGGGCGAGGGTGAGCTCACGCGCGGCCCCACGTAACTGAAAGGCGGCTGCTGGGCTGTGTGTTGGCTTGTGCCAAGGGAGTGGAACCGGGACATGTGACAGATTCTGTCGTCCTAAGAAAATATTGTTAAGGATTTTCTTTTTTCTTAGAGATTGTTTCTTCCTCTCTTGGGAAGCCTATAATAGGAGAGTTGAGGGGGGGAAAAAAAAAGAAAGAAAATAATGCTGTTTATTTAAATGTTGGTGAATATTTCCAGCAGTCTGCTGTAGCTCTTAAAAAAAAAAAAAAAAAAAGTAAAAAACCTGGCATGTCTGTGAATAGCTTTATAAAGCTCCTCAGGGAGAACAGATGAAACCTTCACCATCTAGAACTGGCGCAGTTGTGTGTTAAAGCAACAGAGTGCTTCCCTGTGCTCCACCTACTGTTGCGAGCAAGTGTGATGAACCACCTACCATCTGCAGATCTCAGTATTGCTTAGGAGCTGGCGTCTTGACCGAGATGATAGTTTGTCTTTGCTCTAAGTTATCTGGGCCTTTTTTCGGTTTTATTAGTAATCATTATTTTTATATATATATATACACACACACACACACCCCCACTAGATGTTGAGAATTTCCCATAGTATCTTGTTGAAACCATTTGCTCAATAAACAGGGTGAATCTTACCTGCATGAAATCTATGGTCTAGGAAAAATGTTGGCTTGATCATTTCAAAAAGATGATAGACTTGAAAAAATCAGCTGGAGGTTGAGACCAGCCCCAGTCATGAGCATTTGGCAAAACTCCCCGCTTTTCAGGAGAACAGAGTGAGTGTTGAACAACCTAGTTGTGATCGGTTTCTGTCTATGCTGTTGTAGATGCAAGATCTGATGCCAAGAAATGGTGCTTTTAGGCCATGAAAGATGATTAATTTTAAGCACTTGTATTTGTCTACTGTGGGGGGAGAATGTTTTTAAAAGCTGTAATAAACCCCTTGTCAGCAGAACAGAGCTCAGCTATTGTGCAATCTAGGTATTACATTTCTGGCCAGGATTTGGTTCTTTTGGGTACTTTACTTAAATTGCAACGTTGGAGCTTAGCTATCCAGGACATTCATGTGCATAAGGGAAAAACCACTAAAACTCACTAACATGAAAGTGTTTAGCTGTAGTAGAAAGCTGGGGGTGTGTGGAAACTGAAGGCCACTGCTTGTAGTGTCTTACTACAGAAGCTACTTGAATACGGGAGTGGTGAATGCTTGAAGCTCTTCAGAATGAATGGGATACCCCAAAAAAACAGTGCTCAGCAGCATTATTTTATAGTAGCAGTTAGTGATTACAGCCTTTAAAAGATAGACACTGATCTGAACAGGTTAATCTCTACTTCAGCGACTGGTGGCTGTTTTTTAACCCTCAGCTGGATAAAGATCTGACACAGTGAGTCATTCTTTGTCCAAGCGCCCTGAAGATCAATGGGATGCTTTAAAAGGGAGGGTAACGGGGCCCACCACCATTCACTCGTCACTGCTGGGTGTTCCGTGATTACTGTTGATTACAACAGAATTAGAAGCCAGAAGTTACTTTCTATGCCTGCCGAGGCGGTGATGATAGCCTACTTACGCAGATTATTCAGAAGATTTGCTGCTGTTTGAGAAGCTCAAGGGTGTCTGTCTGGGCACCGCCTGTTTCAGAGGCAGTTATCGGAAGGGTCAAGCACCAACAGCTTCCCCACACAGTCCGGTCTGAATTGAAGTGCATGGTTGGAAATTAATTTCTTACTGTGTCCTCCTACAGCAAAGATCAGCGTTGTATTACGCAGGCAAAACTGGCAACTTTTATACAGCAAAGGATGGGCATGTTTAAGAACAGCGTGGGGATAAAGGACGCGGTGGGTGGGTGGGGGGAAAGCTTATTATTCATGGGCTTGACAGGACTGCCAGAATATTGATGGCTTGGCTTATGTTACTGCCACAAAAACTGATGTGGAAAACTCTGGCAATTCAGCCTCTAAAATGTTCAATTGTCAGAAATACACTTCTGAAACTGAAGTGGCATGCTGAACTGTACAGCGCGTTTCTGAAGGGCGTTAACTCTCCGTCTGAGGAAAGCTGGGCAAACGCTACAGAAAGGTTGGCTCTCAGATATGAGTGACTTCTGTTTGTTCTTTCATTCTTCAAAGATCAATGCAAACCTTTATTTTCTATAAATAATTTAATAAATACTTTTGTTTTACAATGATACAACAAATAACAAATTCATAGCAAATGAGTCACAAAGAATTTAGGATCAGTATACTTTAATAAGGTATCAGTGTCAAAATACATTTCCTTATCAAGTTAAAGTTCCCATACAGTTATAATATTGTCAATAAGAATTCAGCAATATAGATTATGAAATAATTATGATTAAAAGTATGATTAATATTTAAGACATGGAATATTTCTTCAGAGTGTTTTAGTAAACTGTTAGGGTATAACATTTTTAATGCTGAAACTACACACATAAGAAACAAAAGAGCGGTATTCAAGTGTCTTTAATCCTTGAAGCCTTTAAGTTCTTGCCACTGCAAATTTGTCAAATCTGGCTTGCCAATTTTAATCCAATTTTGATGCTTACGATAGTTTTTTTCCACATGGTAATAAGTTTATTTTTGATTATTTTTGGTAATAAGCTCTTTCAAGAGTGCCTACACTAGGGACTATCATCATTTTTTACATTATGTACCAATAACAAAAGATCTTTAGCTTTTTTAAGTATAGGTGTGGTTAAGACTCAGTCAACACAGCGAACTCTGAAGTGCTCAATGAACCCAAGGCTCCCTCTCTGCAAGTGTCAGTGTATGATATAAACACCAGGCTTCAGCGCAATCCGAAGACTCTCAAAGGAATATGTGTTTGTTCTAAGTTTCTGGGCCAGATTTTACCTTTTGTACATTGCCACTGTTCCACTTTCTTCAGTGAAGCTATGACGATTTATACCAGTGGAGGAAACAAGGTGATATACCCCAACAGCAATCCGGGTCTGTACGTATTTTAGAGTCAGAATTGCTCACCTGCCTTTTATGACTTTAATATTTTAGCTGTTTAAATATGTTGTAATTTAAACTTTCAACTCCCTTTGCTTTTGAAGGCATTCTTTAAAATGAGTGTATGACAACTAATAGTGGTTGGAAAGGAGCTCTTGAAAATGATGTCTGGCTGCCTTTTAAGGACATTTCAGCTACTGATTAATGTAAGACAAGTAAAAAATGATAGAGGCCTGCCTGCCAGTTACTCATCTCACTATGCCATCCTTAACTTTTTTTGTCTACTTTATAACTGAGTTAGCCTAATACGCTACAGAATAATACTACTTTACTTTAACTTTTAGTTTTAACGATTCAACATTGCAGGTATATTGCTAGCTGGCATGTAAAATGAAAAAGGCTAGTATTAGTCAGAGGTGTTTGTTAGTACTGGCCGCTGGTCAGGTTCCTGAAAGATCAGCAACGGCTCTTAAAGTTGTTGTGTCCTAGATATAGCAAAAGAAGTAGCAAGAGATGATTGACAACTGACCCAGAGAGAAATTAAAAAAAAAAAAAAAAAAAAATCTGTTTTGTGTTTAAAAAAGAAGAAAAGGACCAACAAAGAACAAAGCAAGAAACCCCAACACAAACAAAACCACAGGTCTAAATCCTCCACTGGGGTAAATCTGTAGGACTCCCTTGGCTGTAGAGCTAAGCCAGGTTAAGGCAGCTGAGAATGTGACTTACTTCTGAGGGAAAAAAAGCTTACAATGTGCAACTTTCACAGATACGCACAAACATTGCAGTTCACCATTCACATTTCTTTCAACAAAGCGTATTAAAAAAAATAAAGGTAAGGGGGGGAGGCGGAAGGCTGGGATTTTTCCTTAGTATGCTTTTCCAAAAGTTATGGAAGTTACAATCCGATAAATGCTGGAAAACAGAAAGACTCAAAGGATTTCAATTTGGCAGATCAACAAAAAACTGTGGTTGGAGATCAAATTTGTTTCATTCATCTTTGGCAATTAAAAATAAATCTCTGTAGTACTGCAGCCAAAGTATCATGTGATGAGGCATTTATACCACAGCTTTTTATTAGCATGAATTTTGAAGAAAATTTCAGAGTATAAATTACAAGTGATGAGATAAAAGGGAGGGTAATCAAACTCTCTAAACAACACTTTAATTGCAATAGAGAAAATACAGTAGATGTATTTCTTTTATATGAATAATAAAGTGAGTAACTTCAAAAGGCCACTATTTGGTAACGTGGACAGGTTCAATATCTAAGTAAAATCCTGTAAAAGTGTATTGGTATTAGAAATTGTCTACTTGCAAAAATATATTTAAAAACTGAAGCTGTTTTGAACAGTATAGGCCACGGAATATTGCAGGATCGCTCAGGTTGCCTGGTCCAGTGCTCTGAGCAGTTCACTGCCCTGCAGAAGCGTAGAGCTGCCCAAAACGGGGACGTTCACCTCACAGTCATACCTTGTCAACTCGGGCAACAAGTAGGGTTCGAATGAGGGCCCCAGCAGACGACTGGCCATACCTGGAAGAGATTTGTGATGTGATTAGTCATGTCAGTCATGGTGCCGAGACCAGAGAGAGAGGACTTCGTTCCTCTCCTCCCTCTTCTGTTTATACCAGTTATAATTTCATTTTGTGTTTATGTCAATATGCCTCAAAGCACCAGCAGTTACAGGTGTCAGAGCAAACCTGTGCATTGCCCTGCGTTAAACGGCTGCAGGCGTGTCACACGGACCGGTGCAGTTTTTCACCTCCATCCCCAATTTGAATAGTTCAGAGAAAAAGGATAGTGGTGCAGATAAGGAAAGCTGTAGTAAACAACCGTTTCTAAACTGACACCCACTCCCCTTATATATTAAAAGGGACACATCTGTCCCCTTTAATTCTTATTTTAATTTTCAGAAGGCCTGTGTTAAGACTCTAACCTACAAACCTCCCATATCGATGCTGCAGTGAAGTTGTTCAGTACAATTTAATCAATGCCATCACAAGACAAGAGTATGGATGGAAGATGAGGATGACTGGCCGTCCAAGGTAAAAATATATTTAGTTTAATTGACATTAAGGGCAAAAATAATTTTTTCTCATATTACAAATGTCAGCATTAAAGTTTCACACTAAACAACAACTAATTTTTCATTCTATGAAGCAATACATGTTTGGTTATTGGTTGATCATCCTCCTCCATATTTTTTTAAGTGTTTTCTTTCATGCAATCAGTACTGGAACTATATACCAACACTTTCCAATTTCTGTATTTGACAGCTCTTACCTGATGCTTTATGAACTGGCTGAACAGTATAGTCCTGATAATGGGAACTGTAAAATGGAGGGGGAAAAGCTCCTGCTTTCAAATTCTCACCAGGACTGCCACAGGTGGGTGGTTGCTGCTGCTGCTGCTGCAGTTGATTCATTGGTTGGCTCAGACCTCTTGAGTTACAGACAAATTCATCTGATTTATACAGTGGGGGGGGAAAAAAAGTTAAATGAAGCCAGTGTAGTAATTATAGTAGATAATACTAAGTCAAAGCAAAGTGATCTTTGGTGTGACAGTCACGCAGCGTAGGCATACCTACATCTTGTCCCAAAGAAAGTCCAGAAACAGCACTAGCTCTAGAAGTAGTATTGCACCCAAGATATGCTTGTGTAAGGAAGCCCAATGTTGTAAAGAGACATCTCAGAGCTACAGCTGATGCTGTCTGCACCTTGCATCAGCACGAGGTTAAACTCATCTCCATGAAGCTGATCTCTCTTACCTCCAAAACAAGGGTGTGAACACACGTGAAACCATCTACCTGGCAGTTGTCCAATGTACTTTAAATTGTTCGGTATTTAGTTATACGACCTGATCATTAATTTTAGCTTAGTGTAATATTTACAAAGCTTATTTGTATTTCCTTTTGAAAGAGTTTTTTTGTTTCTATTCAACCTGTCTTAAAACGGTGTTTCAGTACTTAACATTGCAAAACCACTTTCTTTTGTCTTACCGGTAAGAACACTTGTGCTGAGGGACTTTTTTTCTGTAACCAAGGAACGGTTTTCACCTTTGAGAAATTTCATTCTCTTCCACATTAGGTGAGATGGGTTAATGACAGATGGATCGCCCTAGAATGTGAAGAAAAGCAAAACAAATAATTACACCTATGACCAGGGTGAGTCCAAAGTTGTGAAGGGGATGCATTTCTTACGATTACCCCACTCAGCTGTTGCAATGCATGTTCTTCATAATCCAGTTGTCGCTTCAGCTTCAAGCTGTTAGACAGAGCAATTCTTGCCGGGTTTATATCTATGCCTCGTTGTCCAAAAGCATCCAGGGGCCTGTGGAGAAAAAATCTCTGGGTGAGTGAGCATACAGGCGAATCTCAACCATCGTGTTCATTTATACAGATTCTTCTTTCACTTAAGGTGTCTTTGACACATGATGATAGCGGACAGACCTCAAACGAATGTTTTTATTTCCTTTTGCAGTCATCCCACAAGCTTTGGAAACTTTTGACTTTTGGGATCAAAGACTAATGAAAGTCTAGCACAAACAGCCTCTAGGGATCTCCAGGCACACATAAAAATGCTGTGGAAAAGAAAGTAATGCGATTTTTAAGGATAGGATTTTGAGAGCCACACCTGTCCCCTTGCTTTGAATACTAAATATGAACACAAAGGTTGCTGTTTGGGGACAAACCCTCTTTTTCCAGACACATATTCAGACAGTGGTATTTCTGCCAACATGAAATCTCAGAAAGCAAACTGTGAGCAAACTGCACAGCTTCATGTTTTAAAATGACCACTGCTATTTTATGTACTCCCTGAATGTTTCCATGTGACCAACGCTGAAGACCCAAGAGCTACAGAGAAACTTCTAGGTATGACAGGAGACTTCTAGGACTGTAGCCTCGGATCTACGTCTCATCGCATACTGTTCACGTGTGTAAGTGAACAAGGTGAGGAAAGGTAGTAGAAAAAGAGCCTGTCATTTTAAATCTTAGTTTGTAATATTTACATGTGCCAACAATAAATGTTCTGTCATCCCTCCCTCTTCCCTATTTTCCATTGTGCAAAAAATATAGGCATGGCAAGAAAGTATGCATGGGTCCAAGTTTCCTGCTGGACCAGTAAGCCTTTTCAGTACTTCTCTTAAACCGCGTAAAGTCAGGCAGGCTTTGCAAAATAGTTTGCGTAATAGTTATCTGACCAGCAGGAAATCCATTCATGCATCCTTACAGGCAATGAAAGATTAGCCCATTTCTGCTTCCATCAGACTGCCTGCCACTGGGAGAGCACCACACTAATTTCCCCCGAGGTACAGTCTGATGCCTGTCAAAACAAACTTACTCCCACTGAATTGAGAGAGAGGATTTTTCGAGATTATGCCCTGCCCTCCCCCCCCCCCCACCCCCCCCCCCCCCCCCCCCAATCTTTTCTGAGTAAAATACATAGTTATACCACAGAAACTCTTACCTTTTTTTATATATGGGCATGCTCGGAGAATGTACTGGTGGCCCTGAGGGGGAACTTGATAAGGATCCTGAGTATTTATCCATGAGTCTCCATTTAGCAGGAACATATTCTAATGGGGGATCAGGTGGCCACTGGGTGTTTGGTCTTCCTCCCATCGAAGACAGGGGAGTGCTGGCTTGGTCATGGTACGGTGGCAGTGATGACCTACTCACATTGTTGAAGAACACCGATGATAGGGACCCATGACCAGGGTTAACGTTTTTATTTGATAGCTGTGGGCAATATTTCTCTGGGAGGAACTGATTCTGTGAAGCAGAAGCAAGGGGTTGGAAGATGGTACTCATGCTACTTAGACTCTGCTGGGTATTTTGTGCACTTTCAGAGAGAGGGCGTTCCTCTTGGCAGATGGGGCTGAGCTGGAAATCTTCTCCATCCATAGGAATGTAAGGAGCCAAGGTTTCAAGGTCCAGTTCATTGAAGTCAGTCTGTGCAAAAATAAGTTCAGAAAGAAACTAGAAGTTATTAATAGCTGTGGCAGTTTGTATGATATGGAATACTAGTGGATGTGCAGCTGAAAAATCACTGTGTGCCAAATTTACCTACATGAAACTGGCCAGCTCCTATTTAAAGATGTCTTATTTCTATGACTAGCATACACGTTCATCATAGCAGCAGCAGCAAAGCAAGACAACAAACTGAAGAAAAAAACCTCCCTGATAAGCAGTATTTGCTAAAGCAGCTTGCACAGAGACTGCAACATCACTGTGATCTGAAGTAGACCTTGTGTTTCATTACGCTTTCAATAACTTGTCTGCCAAGACTCTACAACATGCGGCATGTAGTTCAACCTCGGGCTTTTTCATGCTAAAATAGAAAACACAGCTTTCTCACAATCCAGCTACATGAAAAAGAAAATGCATTTAAAAATGCAAAAGTTTTAAAAAAATATATTTGGAAGGACACTATTGCACTTAAATCCATACTTTTTTTTTTTTCCTTGGAGGACTAGTCATATTTAAATTCATTTCTCTTGGTGTTTAACCAGAGCTGAACAGAGAAGGAAATCACTGTTGGCTTCCAGTCGGTTCATGACAGGGACACTTTTCTAACGCTCATTTATCCCACCAAAGCTGCTGCTGTAGTGGGACACACCTGAGCAAGCAGATGCTGAATCTGACAAAACTAAAGTTTGCACATATCAAATGTAGCACTGAGTTTGATCCTCATCCACATTCTCCTCCTGTCTATCTGTCTACTCCTTCTGTTGCTTTCATTGCTGTTTCTATGTCCAGAATCAGGTGAAATTTCTTCAGGACATGGACTACAGCCTACCTAAGCCTGCAAATTGCAGCACCTCATTTGGGCCCCAGTCACCCCAAACTTCCCATACAATTAATAGGAGGAGATGAGTGCAAGGTCCAAGCTGCCAGCCAGCAGGGCCTGTTCCTTTCTCTTAACTCTAAAGAAGTATAAACTCCTAACAAAGGCATTTCAATTAAGCATCTAAAGTTAGGTGGGCTGAATCAGGCCTACACCTTTTATTCACTAGCTTACTTGATGTAGTGTTACAATACTGGAGGATTAAAAGAGTGAGTTTTAGAGGGAATTTCTACACTTACACCCTGATCAGAATGCAGGAGATGTAGACTGTTATGTTACTTTATAGGCAAGTAATTGTCACAGCTCTCTGAAGTCCTCCCAAGAGGTAAGACAAGCAGAATACACCCAAAACAACAGCTTTCATTTTGTAGTTAAAGGAGATATGTGATATTCCTTTCTCGTTTTGCAAGAATTAGTTAGTTTATATTTTGTTTTAGAAAGGATGTTTACTCGCTAGTCATTAGGCCAGATTAAAAAAAGATTGCTGCTGCTTATATTCCTTATCCAGTCTACGGAAGCTTCCAAATTCTGAAAGCTCCCTGCTGCTGCTTCGTAGCAGTGCCACCCTAAGGCACTTGCTTCAGAGGGTTAGGGATAGAAATTTACACTGCAGCTTTTGAAAGTGTATATTTTGTTAGTGTTGTGCATCAAAGTTTTGGTGTACATGTGCAAATGCAATTTGCATGTACGTTACTGCATCTGCCCATACATCTGTACTACCTGCTAGCGCAGGCGACCAATTTGTATGGCTTTTGGCAGAGATATTGGTTCCTTACCTGGGAGTTGCACTGACTTTTTGATTCTGTGTCCATGGCAAAGAGTTTTTCAATCACCTCAATCTTAAGATCTTCATCCACAGAACTGTAATAATCTCCTGGGCTGCTTGGCTGCACAGAAATAAGAATTTGCTGTGAGCAGCACGACAACCACTATATCGGCTTAGCATCATGCAGTTTATACTGTGCTATTCAGTAACACATCTTTCCTGTGACACCAGGCTGTATATATGGTGTCCTCAGAACCCAAAACTGTCCGCTTCTATCGTATGTTTTCTGCAACACAAGAATACTGCAAAATTTGAGGACTATACTGATTAACAAAGGCCCCCGATGCAGGAACCTAGTTGTCATCTTAGTTTAAATGTTTTTTGACAACTCAGCCCAGCAACGCAAGATGTACACTATTAAATATTTGTATCAAGAAGGGAGCTGCTTAGCACTACCTCAACGTCTTTATTAAAATGGGACATCCTCTGGTAAAGGTTGGCTAAGAGTGGCTCCAGCTCTTGGGGGCAATGCCCCAAAAGCACATTCATCCTTTCAGTGAGGAGCTGCTCTCAAAAGCCTGAGTTGGGTAAAGTTTCTCGACTAGAGGCTATAGCTTCTAGTTAACAAACAGAAAGAGGCCATATGGGTCTGGGGTAATGCTGCTAGTGACCGCACCATTTCACATTGGATTTTTATTTAAGGCTAACTCCATGAAAGGAGGTAGCACATTCTTCTGCTAGTTGTTTCACAGGTTATAGAAATTACTGAGGGACAGCTGGGAGAAAATGAGGATTGCAATGTAAAGGCAGGGTATCATTCCTATTTGATGTTTTAGATATTGGTGCTTAAGATATATGCAGTACAGGAGGCATACAGATACACTGGGCCTTGTTAATAAGCGATAAGACAGGACTGGTAACATGAAAACATCATCTACGTACATCGATGGGACTTACATACAAAAAATACCATGTTCTTTTTTCTTTTTTTAGCGCTCTTACCGTGGAACAGCTACTGTTGCTGCTTGCACTTGGGGTACTGCTGCCAGGTGCAATCTGAGGCATTGTAAAGGATGGTATTGTCAGTGTTTCACCTTGAGCAGCGTGGCTTTTCACTTCCACTGGCCATGCTTTGTTTGGTGTCAAAACAGCACTGGGGAAGGCAGGGGCCTCCTCAAACTTCTGCGTCCCTGCATGGAGTTTTAACAATATTAATGGATGCTTTTAGGTTGTGCTGTGTTATGATATAATTGCAGCTATTCATCGAAAGTAAAGGCTGCTTCTAGTTGCCATGACAATAAGTTGGCACAGACTTAATGCCTGTTGTTTAGTCAGCAAGAAAGCCTGATTCTGCTCTCATTCACAGAAATTTTCCACTGGTGTGAGCACGTGGGCTCTTATAGCCATTACTCCTGATTTGTACACACAGCAAACAGACCTTGTCTGTGAAGTTTCTAAATGTAGGCTCACATGTGGTTCTTTGTTGCACAAAAATTATTTATACAAATACTAACCAAAATCCAGGGAAATAATGGCATCTCCAGGTGTTGGTGCCAGCTGAGCAAGCTCCTCTGGTTCCTCCTTTAACTTAGTAAACAAGAAGTCGCTCTTCTCCGTGCCAGGGATGCCACTCTCATAGGCGGTGCTCATTGTCAGCAGGTGAGGCTTGAAGAGTGATTCCGTTTGGTCCATGGAGAACACAACATCGTTCTTCTCAATTTCACTAAGAAGAAAATAGCTTTTAGGCATTTTGCAATCTAAAAAAACCCAAAAGATGTGGGTAACGTAGGCAGTACAAACTCTCTAAAGCTGGGGCCCGTACAAACGTTTTGGCCTCTCGGTCGCATGCCAGGCTCTCGACAGGCGAGGCACGGTTCCAGCGTTGCTGAGCACCACCATCTCAGATGACGCAGAGAGTGTGGTTAGGTCTTCTGTGGGAATACTCGGGGCTTTGTTGCTCTGCTTTTTAAAGGGATGTAGTCGAGGCTATAATGACCCAGACTATCACTCAAGTAAGTATTTCCTATTTTGGCCCCATCTAAGACCAAAAATACTTGAGTTTTACCAAACAGAGGCAAAACTCCTGGTTGGTCCTGATTTTTGAGGCCATAAACAGCTTCTCCTAGCAACATAAGATACAATTACTACTTAATTTTATCTCTCTGTCACAGCATTAGAAAAACAAAACACATTAGCAGTTGTGTTACACAATAAAATCTTCAGGGCAGGCTTTATACTCTTATTGTATCAGCACAGCAGCCTCTGCAGAAGAGAAAGGCTGTGGTGTTATTTCAACAGCGTCTATGGGAACAGGCATGCCACATTTTTCATCGATGTCTAACATCAGGAAACAAGACTGAACAAACATGACTAAATTGATTTCAGAATAACAACACTGAATAAATAGACCCTTCAAAAGTTCCTCTGACTCTTGCATTTCTTCCAGCACATGAATCCATACGTGGTTTTGCTGTCCCGTACGACTTACCTCAGCACATAGTTGACACAGACGATACACTGAGGCTGTAGGTTGCGCGTATTGTAAATCACTGTTCCCTGAGTTTCCAGCCATACGTATCCACCGTGCTTGGCAAGCATACGGTACTGGCCTGTCACTACTTGACCTTTTGTACACACTGAGAAAAGGGGGCAGAGAGATAAGTAATGCAACAGGACAGGAAAGCACAACATGTAACACTTGTTTTAAATAAACCCGCTTCTGAGTTTTCATTGTGCAAAACTGCACTAAGACATTTGTTAGCAAGGATGCTTAACTTTGGGAAAATTCAGCCATTTTAAATATAAAGGGGGCTATTTGTTTGAGGTTTTCACTCAAGATTGGAAATTTGAGTTCTTGAGATGGTCCAAGTATTCAGATCAGAGTGTGGGATTTTTTTAAAATTTAAAGATCCCAGATGCCCCCAAAATAATGCCTGCCAACTGCAGGTTTCTTGAGAGTCCCTGTTCTAGAAGTGCCTCAGTTTGGGCTCCCAAGTTCATCTGTAGAAAAGTGAATTTATTTAGGAAACTATTTAATAGTTTCCTCATTTAGGTGATGGATAAGCCCAAGAGCCAGATGATTGAAAAGCTAAATTCACCAAAAAAAATGTTGTGGATTAAATCTAAGGTATACAGAGAGATAGGTGTAGAGTTAGGAGCTGGAGATATCAACACCATAAATAAAGTGAAGGTGTCACTAGCACAGCATTGGTCTTAAGAGGCTGAAGAAGTAATATCACTCTTAGAAAAAGCATCAAAATTAAGAACAGTACGTGGGACTGTTTTGCCTAGGAGAAAAAATAAAGCCGAACTACTGTATTTCTCTGTCTGCTTGAACTGTGGTGTTCCTCTGCAATAGCTTGAAATTAGCAGCCTAGAAGGAACCAAGACCCACGTGACAAATAATGCTTATTTATGTCTAAATGTATTTTTTGAACTGGCCTGTGTTTCTCAAGTAATAAACTGACAATTGTACAACCAGGGTTTAAAGCTTCATCTAGATGTTTGAAAGGTGAAATTCCCCACCCCTCCTGCCAAATATTTTGTAATATTTGAAGAGAATGAGTTTTCAGTATGGAGCTTTGAACTTCTGAGATCTAAAGTTTTATGATGTCCTCTCTGCTGTAAATCCTTTCCTAAAAGCAATGAATACTGTCATGCAATTCACAGTTGTCAGTTGAGAAAAAATATCGTCAATCAATGGCAATAAAATTAGGGCTGGAGTATGCAAGCAGTACTCGTACTAATAAAGAGGTTGTATTTGTTAAGCAGACGTAGTCGCACCGAGTAGAAAAAGTGGGAGCTGGCTCAACTAAACCTTTGACCACGTTGGCAATCTTTCCTTTTAAACAGCTTTTACACCTGAAATGTGTAATACAAACACACAAACTAATGCCCTAAAAATAATGCAACTTGACCCAGTAAGGCTGAAAACTTGATTCTGCAGTCTTTGTACAGAAAATTTCCTTGTGAATGTAGCCATTAACAGAAGCTATTTATTATCACTCTCTCCTACATCGCCACCATACAAATGTACAAATCCAGGCCTCTGAAACCCAACAACTGTTTTGCAGATAATTGTTGCTGTGTTTACCCTTCTATCTCTGAAGTTTGTTTGTTTTCTTCCTAGGAGTATTTAATCATCCTTCATTTAATTTATTTAGACAAAGTAGAACATTACTTTTATTGATTAAATACTTCTGGTGGAACAAAATCAAGAGGCTTTCATTTCAAAGTGTTTTAGTGACTGGACTGTTCTGCTCTGCTTGTGAAACATAATTACACTGCTTCCTAATCATCAGCTCATCAATAAGAGTCACAGTGTAGGCGCCTGTTACATTACAAAGAAGCTTTTTACTGCTTTAATCTTTATTATTATTATTATTCAAAGCATGTCATGTTCTGATATAATAAAGTACAGCAGAATCCCTCCATGGGGTAATCTCATAAATTCCTAATAGACTCGTAACTGCTGACTTTGTTATCAACGCTACACTTAAGGTTCTGCCTTCAGAGTGAACTTCTCACTTTTTTTTTTTTTTAAGTATACATTACCTGTATCTTTACAGAACTAGTAATATCTCAATGAAATAGGTTCTGGTTATATTCCTTATCTTTGGATGGAGAAAGGGGGGAAGGCAGGGATGAATTATTTGAATACGAAATTTGGTTTTTAATTGCTGAGAGACACTTGAGAAAGATGATTCACTTGGAAGGCCTGTCAAACTTCTGCTACGTACTACCCAAGCGGCAGGTCCCAGATGGTGACATTCAGCTCCCCACTGAAGTCAACAGCAAAATTCCCATTAGCTTTAATGGCAACAAGAACAGACTCTAAATGGAAGCGATTACAGATGATTAGTCGCAGAATTGGAAAATACAGCTCTGCAGAGTAGATTTGTGTAACGTGATAGAGATTTTCATCTTGTTTGCGTAACATGTGAAAAACTTGATATGCTAAATACTGCCCAGTGCACTCTAATCTTCCGTTTGATGGTGACTAATTAAGACTTTCGTACTCTATATGCAACTGTACTTCCAGCCAAGAACACAAACACTATTGTGGCTTGCTTGAATGTGAGGTTGTTATTTCACCTCAAGAAAAAAAACCAAAAAAACAACAAACCTGCAGTACCGTAAGACTGCAATAAGCATGATTTATCGCTACGTTGGAAGGAAGGAAAGGGAAGGATTCCTGCTTCTATCCAAGATACTCATTTGAGGTTTTTCTCCCTCTCTGTCTTCAAATTTCAGTCTCTTTCCCCTATTTCATGTTTCATGTAAAGATGTACGCATCTTTACAACACTAAACGGTTGGCACTGTCAGAATTGATGACTGTGTTATTGCATGAATATATACTCTATACATAGCATATGTCTAATAAAAACTCTTGTTTAATAAATACAAGTGTGCTGAACATGAATTTTGAGGTGGATATTTCCATGTATAAATGAACGTGGCCAGGAAGAACTAATAAGTTCTGTATAGCTACATGCTAGGAAGAACTAGTAAGTTGTGTATAAGCTATATTACCTGCTTGGTTACCCTGTGCATTAGACAACATTATCAACAGCATGCATTATGAAACCTAGGGATTTTCTATTCGGAGGACTTATATGTGTTTTTTCAAGTCACAGCTTGCTGTCACATTGCTTTTGTGGTTGTTCTCCGAGTTGGTAAGAAGCCCGATTGTCCCAGAAGACACAGGAAGTATTTATCTTAGAAAAACTAAAAGGGTCAAATTTTCTGGCCATATAAACTGATGGCTCTGTCATGGCCAACAGTATTTATCACAGCACCGGCTTTGGTCCCGTGCTTCCGACAGTAAAGCTCATCCATGCTGATCCTGTGCTATCATAAACACTATGGAACTGTTTGATCCTAAATATTTATAACCTGTGCAGTGCACGGTGTCTTGAGCACTTTTGCTGGTATAACTGACCCCTCTAGACTTCCCCTTGCCTTCATTCTGCTTCACGACCAGTCCTTATGCCCAACAGTAAAAGTTTGTAGGGCACGGCCCTTTTCAGTAGGCATAAATGGCATCTGGAGATACACTCTACATAACATGAGGTGAGTTGAACTGCTAGAGCAAGGAGCAACTTCAATCAACGCTTGGTCAAAACAGGTACTAGAAACTCTCCAGAAATCTCCACATGGACAAGTCCCAACTCAGGGGTCCCATTTAATGAAGTAGATAGGGATGACCAGCAAGGGTGCTCGCTCTCTCCTGTTGCCAGAGATTGCCAGTTCTCATTTTGTTCCCTCCTTGCTATTGTTGCACTCTTAGAAATGCAACTCCAAAAGCAACACTGCAGCATACCCCCCGATTTCTCAGGATGACTCTCGATAGCCCAGCACAGGATATAGACATCCTGTTGGTGAATACCACCAATTCATCTGTTGAAATCATGAACCTAAGAAACAATTTTAACAAATACATTCCCAGACAACTCTCTAAGTACAGTTTGATTTCTTTTTTTTTCTTTTAAGCAGCTCTGGAAATAGGACGATTCGTACCAACACTGTTTTACAGCACGCAACTTTAATCACTGCCAAACATTCTTTCAAGTAACATTTCAACTCAGAACTGTCCTGAACCCTTGCCATCAGAGCTAATGCATATTCCCTTTTCCCCTTAAGGTCAGACAGTTATTCTTTGCTGCTACTTTTCTCTGGGAAGTACAGAAACACTTTCTGTAAGTCTGTTTGGTGGGCAATTCCCTACAGACATGACCTAAGTCATGGGCTTTTTCCTGAGGACAGAGACCTTGATCATAGTAACTACAAGGTGAGGGTTGTTTTTAAGCTTTTGTACGCTAGTATAGGAGCTTTGCTTAATTTTTATAAAAAGAGCAGCAGCAGACATTTAAGTGATGCGTTGCTGAGAACTCTCCTATACACTAGTTCAGTGTCCATAACAGCCAAAAGGTGGGAAATATCATTTGTACATTAGTGCACCATGCTGTCTCCAGCCATAGCGCCAACTCTGAAGACAGAGACTGAAGATTTAAATCCAATAATTTGGATTATATCTTATGTGATATAATATATATCTATTATATATCTGGTATATCCAATTGATAATTAGATAATAATTTATATAATA